AGATTTTTACTCAATCAACCCTGAGTTTCCCACCACTGGAGGACACTTAGCCTAATATCTGTGATTGGTAGGGATGATCTAGAGGAGGTTGGCATGAGTCTGCCTGTTACATAGTAGGGGCATAAAATATTGATTGTTGTGTATCTATGTAAGCAGGAAGTCTACTGAATAGTTTTATGATCACTATAGTTCTATTCACAGCACATCATATTTTTTTCTTTTTTTCCAGCCTGTTGGTCTTTGCACTGGTTCGCTGATGCGAAATGAAATAGAAACTTTTGTCTCTGCAACTTGTAAATTCTTTGAATCACAGGTAATTAAAAAAGAATTGATTGTCTTCCTGCGAAGGAAACTGAAGATTTCTCTTTATTTTAACTGCCCCTACCTCATCCTCCTCTTAATATCCTAGAGCCTGAGACCACCACTTCATTCACGACACCCTAACACCAAACCCACAGGGGAGCTGCTGAGAGACCCATGAGGCTGTGTTCAGGAACAGTGTTGTCCTGCAGAATAGTGACGCTCCTTCAGAGCGAAGAGCCTACTAGCTAGGATGACTCAGGCCTTTGACCTTAAATTCCATGTCCTAATCACTGTTATACAGAACCACTGGCTTAGTTGTTTCCATGGAAGGTGAGTCTCTGCCCAGAAGAATGTGTTTATCATTTACTGTGAGGCAGCCTAGTACAGTATGGGTGATGGATATCGGGCTCCTGGGTTTCAGTCCTGTCTGGCAGCTGCAAGCTGTGTGACCAGGGTGCAGACTGCCTGTCTGAGGCCTGGTTGTCTCACCTACCATGGGATTGCAATAGCTCCCTCATCCAGATCACTAAAAACTATCATTAGGGCCTGATGGAGGGCCTGGAAGAAAGGCCATCTCCAAGAGGTGAACACTGCCACAGTTTCTGGGAACAGAGGGCAGCTCACTGGGGACTGAGGGAGACATTGGACCTCCCTGGCCCATTGTCAGATCAGAATTAGCGTGACTGGCCATCAAGCTTCACTGCTTTGGTTCCTGTGTTCATGATCAGACTTACTGTTACTTCTTTAAAGATGGACTCATCAAAACAGCTGATCTCCCTTTGAAACATTCCATGAAAAAGTCACAGAACACCTTAACCTGGTAACAGAAATGGCAGGTTTTCAAATGGGGGGGGGGGTCGGTACAATGTCTTATTTGAAAGTATTCTTTTTTCAGGCTCCTGCTCCTGGCGGTGAAAACTCTGCTGTTAACCTGAGCCCTGTGCACCTGCCCAAGGTGGAAGAATCCCAGGACAAAAAGGCAGCGCCCACTGATGCCTCATCCACAGCTGTGCCAAAAGGATTTGTCCAATACCTCTCTGACCCAGATAGGAAGTCCCAAGAGCCCCAGGAAAGTGACCCTGTGGA